ACAGAGTCTCTCAGATTCCAATAAGTACCATGTCACTCTAACTACTGATATTCACGACCTCATTCGCTTCCACACAGACTATTAAGAAACGATTTTGCAGCACTGGGACCACCTTCAGACACCGACACCGTCGTCTACGGTAAGTGCTTAATTATATCTATCTACTTTATAACCACTATTACTACTTACGCATACACATACTATCTCACACAAACACACTTGTAACGACGTTTCACCTTTCTTGCATACGTACGCAATGCAGTTTGTACTATACACAAGAATTCTTTTAACAACTAGGAAAAAGACATTACTCATTCAACCAACTGTATATGCCAGCTTGAATTCTTGTTTTATAAAATGAATATTATTTCTTAATGTTACGTTGTGATTTTATCCATGATTTTATTATTTTAATGAATGTGGCGCGATTGTTTTAAAGGATCAAATTACGAGCAGTACTGCAACATTTTATATTATTGTATCGAATCCTGACATTCCGCTTTTTAACGTTTAATTTAAACATGTATAGAAGGATTCCTACAACACGTACAGCTATTTTCGCTTTAAATGATTCATTTTTTATTTCTTGAAATAAACGAACTTTGAAGAGATAAATGCACCAATTTATGTTTAATTGGTATTTTTATTTTACAGGTGAATGAAATGGCTTCGACCAGAAGACCTTGTAAAAATAAGCCCGACGTATTCTGTTAGATGTGCGGCGAATACACCACTGTCTATAACATAAATCCAATCACAAGTTTCATAAAGCGTGCTTACTTCCTTTATTTTGGTATTAAACTTGTTGAGCAAGATAAAGCTTAGGCGTCACACATGGTATGTAAGACATGTACCGAGTATCTGCGTCGGTGGACCACGAGAAAGAAGAATTGTCTGAAGTTTCGAATTTCCATGGTTTGGAGGGAGCCAACTAACCATAGCACTGACTGCTACTTCGGTGCTATTGATGTGACTTGGATCAATAGAAAGAATCGGAGCAGTTTCAAGTATTGTGATCTTCAATCAGTAGGTCGTCCTGTAGATCATTATGATAAAATTCCAATATCTGTCTTTGGAGAACTTCTTGACATTAGTTAGAAAGATTTCTTCAAGAAGAAGAATGTACTGATATTTTACTGCTTCTGTACAAAATTGGAGTGTCACAGTACGAACCCAAAGATTGGAGACTGTTCATTGACAGCAGCAAGCGATCACTGAAAAGTATTCTACTGCACAATGGCAACCAGTTTGCCTCTGTACCCCTCGCTCACTTGACTACACTGAAGGAGAAATATGAAGTATGTGCTGGAGAAAATTCATTATGATCAGTATAAGTGGTTGATTTGTGTTAACCTGAAGACTTTTTGTGTTCATCAAGTATCCATATTTTCTGTGCATGTGGGATAGTAGGGACACTTTTCAGCATTACACGAAAAAGGACTGGCTTTTTCGGGAGGAATTAATGTCTTGCAGAGCAACAGTAAGCTTCTAGTTGACAGAAACAGGATACATTTCCTACCGCTGCACATCAAGCTAGGCTTGATCAAGCAGTTCATCAAAGCTCTGAACAAGGATGATGGCTGCTTCAACTACCTGTGCCAAGCTTTTCCAGGATTGACGATGGAGAAGTTGAAAGCTGGCATTTTTGATGGTCCTCAAATTCGTCAGAGATCCAGAGTTTGAAAACACATTGTATGAAGTGGAACTGGAAGCATGGAAGGTTTTTGTTCTGGTCGTGAAGAACTTTCTTGGCAACAACAAGGCCAGGAACTACGCAGAACTGGTCATCTATATGCTGACTGCTTTCAAAAACATCGGATGCAAAATAAGCATACATTACATTATTTATTCTCACATATGGATCGGTTTCCTGAGAATCTAGGATCAATGAGCGATGAAAAGGGGGAGAAATTCCATCAGGGAATGAAAGAGATGGAGACCAGGTATCATGGACGCTGGGATTCAGTCATGATGGCTGATTACTGCTGGACTTTGAAGAGAGGCAACCCTACAGCTTATCATTCTAAGGGTTCGAATAAACGGAATTTCAAGCCCTGAATTTTGAACAATGATGATCTTACTTGCATTTACATTTATCGATGTATATTATTCAATTTATTGTAATAGATATTTGTAATATTTAATTAATAAATTTTGTTAGAAAACTTATTTCGTATGAGAAATATTAACAAAATTCAATCTATAATGTCACAAAAATGGATACAAAAGGAAAATTACTCCCCTTGAACTATGAAGGCAGCGATAATGGCTAGTATAATATATTAATATATATTTTTAACCTCGCATAATCTGGCAACCCTGAATCTGAGCTCAATGAAAATCGTTCCTTGCACTTAACTTATCTAGGGCTTTTGAATGAGCTGTGAATCATTGAAATCGGACCAGTGGGAGCGGAGGAGTCGCTTGGACACACACACACACACACACACACACACACACACACACACACACACACACACACACACATTCTACTTTATATATGATAGATGGGAGAATGAATTCAAATATATACCAAGATGTTTTGGAATCTAATTTGTCTGGGTCAGAGATTGGGCGCCCAAATGAATGTGTTTTGCAACAAGATAATGACTAAACATAGGGATAAACCTATGAAAAAATGGCTTATTGAAAACAATGTCAATACACTCAATACTTGAATTCAATAGAGAATTTGTGGCGTTTATTAAAAATTCAAGTTATTAAAAGAGCTTCGAAAAATATCCTGGGCCTAAAGAGAATATGCAAAAAAGAATGGAGTAAAATATCAACGGAAACTTGCAAATCATTGATTAAGAGCTCCAGAAAGAGACTGATTCTGTTGAATTGAATAAGGGACTTACTACAAAGTATTAAATAGGTATTATAATTTTTTACGAATATGTTTTTCGCCTCAAATTTTTTTAGTTTCATTAATATAAGAAAATTTTCTGATTTTTTTTGCATATTGCAGCATTATGCAATGGTATACAAATATTGTATGGATTATAAAATTCTTTTACAAAATCTATGTTAAAAAAAATTAATGGGGCTCTAATTGATCTCTTAATCGCTAAGTTGATATGATGATCCCTTTTCCTGTTGTGACCTGATCCAGCTTTCCTCTCTAGTTTTCCCTCTTTTTTAAACATTCACCATTCTCTTGATGGTTCTTGATTGAACTTAAAGATGGAAGTCAGAGTATGGATGTTGGTACCATTACTGAAGGCCTGAATAATATTTTTCCTCTCACCATTGTTTATTTTGGAAGACAGTTGAGCTTACACAAAACGATTTTAACCTATTCACTTTCTAGCTGAATATCTTAAATCGTTTTTCAGTGATTCTTACGACAAATGGTATCAAGATGGTTAACGTCTTATCCGACAACCTGGTAAAAACAAACCCAATTAGTTTTTCTTGTTTTTTTAGATATTAAACATTTTGTGGGATAGACAATTATGCTATTAAACGATCTGGACAAGTTTGCTGTTGTATATATATATATATATATATATATATATATATATATATATATATGCACATTTCATTGAATACGACAGACAAGTTACTTTTATTTAGTTTTTTATACAATTTCTCATGCAATCTAATATTTTTTCTTTTCAGATGATAAATTATATAAAAACTGTCCGAATGTTCTTTTTAGCCGAGCGCTTTCGGCTATACATTTAGCCATTTTCAAGGATTACATTTTTTAACTGCTAAAATATATGCTAAGTTTTTTCAGGGCGTAGGCGATCATAGCTCTCCGATGATACCGTTTTCCTTATTACTTGCTCCCACCCAAGTCTAGAGGGGTAAGTCTACTCTATTATTTCAATAGTAACTTGGAGAAAGGAGAAAAGATGGATCACTGACTTTCTACAAGGAAAGAAATAGACGAGGCCAGAAGTTGAATTTTGCTTGTCGACTCTACGTTCCAATAATCGTTACACCACACATACGTACATATTACAATATGGAAGTCCTAATTATTCCGAGTTTCTAAACCTGTTTCTTTTAAGGGTTTCAAATAAAATATTGCATACCTGTTTATGCCTCGCCTACATCATTATCTGTAATTTGTTGATCGCATCGTGTTACTAAACTAAAGATGTGTTTTTCATCATGCAAACTATAATCTTTCTTTTTTGCTGAATGTATTGCTACAGTTTCTTTTGATATAATTAAAGAAATTTTGAATTAAAATATTTGTGAGATCAACATCTAAAGTCTAGTGTTATGAAGAATTTTATTTGTTAGTGACACCAGTACATCTAAATATGATATCTTATTGTTCTATTTAGGATGTATACTCAAAACAATAGCAAACTCGATTTTCCTGTTATATTTGCTAAGTTTCTACATTTCAAAGGAATCGAAACCCTTTCCTATTTTTCAGGAAGACAATATAAATACTTACATTTTATACCTTCTTCTCATTGCGACTATTTTCTTAGAGTTTAAAATATTACAACCATCTTACACTCTTATTATCGACCTTTATTTTTATTTATAAAAATATATATAATTTTATATATATTATTTTTTAATATATATATTATATTTTATATAAATTTATCTAATTTTATAAATTCAAATTTTGATTGAAATGCATTAACTTTGAACCAAAGACGCATTTCTAGGATTCTCCGGGAGAGCTACACTTAACCCATGATAAAACATACTACTACTACTACTACTACTACAGCTGCTCCGTTTTATTATTATTGGTTGACACTAGGTTTGAAAGCACAATTTTCCTCTTCTTGTTTGTTAATGAATCGGAATTGTATTCTGATATTTATATTCAAAATCTTAACATCTGAAATGATATTATGTTTGTCCATTTGGGGACAAACCTTGATATGATGTTTGGAATGAAATTCTTCACAAAAATCATCATTAGTGTTTCTCAATTTTAATCAAAGAATGAAAAATCACATGAAACCAGGAATTTCAAATGAACGCCCAAACTAGCAATGCTGCTTCTTAGATTTCACACAAGATAAACGCTGAGTTCGAGAGTTGAGGCTTTCGCAAAGAACAGCAGCGAAAAAGAAGAGGAAAAATTCAGAAAGGCGAACGAAACTGAAAAGTTTCTTCTTTTTATCGTTTTGAAAAGATGTAGAAAAAGAAGAAGAAGAAGAAGAAGAAGAAGAAGAAGAAGAAGAAGAAGAAGAAGAAAGCGCTGACACTTAGAAGAATTATTTGTCCGTTAACAAATATCTATGCTAAAGGGCATCGTCATTTTGAAATATTTATATACGAAAAAATGTTTGGTCGTCTACGACCCATATCGATGTATTTTTAATATAAATATGCACAGAAGGCCAGACAAATCCAATTGGCATCCTCTGATACACAAGCCTGAATAAAGGCAAATTGGGTTTCGATTTTTTGGAAATATTCACCCGCTATATTCTCACTCTTTTTTTGATATTTCATATCAAGTTCTAATATTACTTCACTTATCATTGGTTCCCATTGAAAGCGCAGTAGTTAGAAAACCGAACGCGTTTAAAGTTTAATATTCATTGCTGAGCGAATGAATTTTGTTAGTTTAACACCTTCAAGACGAAAATAGTCTTATAAAATCCAGCATGATAAGGCAACAGTTGAATCAAATTCTTCTAAGTGCCCAAAAAACGAAGTATTTATATATATTCGAATTTAACGAAGGGTCATTAACAATGTCGAGAGTGGAATGGAGTCTGTTTATATTATTCATTGACATACAATAGCATTCACATACGCGTGCGCACACACCTACACATACATATAGAGAGGAATGCATACATATATACATACATGTATACATACGTGATTTATGTCTACTCATTAAACGTATAGAATCATCGCTGACAGGTTTGATCAATGTTCTTAGTTCTCGTGAGAACGACAATAACTGTTGATGTTAGAAAGGAACTTATTGCAGGTGTGGTAAACTAACTTGTTCTAGACAAAGTCTCGCCTGTTTTGTAAAGTCTGTTCAGCTTTGCTCATCGGTTTTCATATGGCGGCTGATATTCGGTTTATGTAGGTTTTCTCTCACGCACACACTGTATATTTTTTTATCATATCTTCCAATAACGTCACTAAAAAGCAAGGGTTTACTAAGTGTTAAAGAGTTACGAGAAAAAGAAAAAAAAACATTATTAAAGAGAGAGAGAGAACAATAAGAGAACAGGGATTAAGAAGACAAAAGATAAGGATTTACATTGCATTTAAATTAAGATCAAAGTTGACTGGAAATCAAGAGGCCGGAAGAGACTTCCACAAGCGAGAAGTTCGAGAGAAGAAACTATTAGCATAGAACATCCAGCCAGTTCAACTGTAATGATGAGACTTAACTGCCAATCTAGTACTGTGATCAAATTCCTAAATCGAGGTACCAAAGATGAAAGCACATCAGAACAATTACCAAGAAAATATTTATAGAAAACACAACGAATCTACATTACGGCGACGGGAAAGTGATTAAAGCTGAAATGCCAGGCCAGGACTGTTTACATTGCGGAGTCTTCTTTAGATTTTATCAGAAATTTCTAAATACATATCAGAAACACCAGACCAGACGTGACAGCAATATTTAATGCATAAATGTCAAGTAATACTGATCATAATTTGTTAGAGATTTGCCAATATGACACTTCCTGTGGCTAACGAGGCCTGCATTGGAGAGACATACTCTGCCACATACATCACGGGATTACAAGATCCATGATTTCCCGTTTCCTAGCAGCATGTATGGCATTTGCCCAACTCAATGTATGTTGGGTTATTACCTTCATGAATTGTACACCTCCGTTTATTTCAACCACAAGAACAGTTTTCCAGCTCAGGATAATTTTCTATATGACAGGATGCAAGAGATCCATTGAAACAGTTCTTGAATGCTTCCTTGCTGGGGTTGAGTGCCGTAGATTATCTCGCCGTAGAGCATTTGCTTGGGTATTCCTACATGCATACACCTAAGTATATATTTTAATATGACATGTCTATTGTCTACTCCAGTCACTAGAGTTTCAGAGGCAGGTCGAATTAGGCATTTAGTCGCCTAATGATAGGTCATGGAGGGGATGGAAGCCCATTATCAAAGAACCAATCAAATTGCTTTCTACGTTCCATGAACCGTTCTTCGATCATGTTTAAGGTTTATCATCTTTGAATGCTTATCTAATGCTATTTTTGGGGGTGGGGGGGTTATCACTAGTCATAATGACTTTAAATATGACTTGTCTTTGTTTACCGTTGTTGTTTATAATATGTATCAGACAGCAGATGTATAGCAGCTCACGGTCCAGTTTATCAACACTTTCTAATTCAAGTGTCTTCTAATAATTTTGATGGAATTTTGGTTGGAATAAAGTCAAGCTAAATGACTTGCATTATATCTTATTATAATTATAGATATGCACACTAATGAAACATTATCACCAGCCATGTGTAAAAATAATGACAACTATTATCTCCTAACAACGGTGCACATTAGGATCGAAGTTATGTGAACAGGTAATCCAATCGCAAGCATTTCATTTTATTGTTTTGACTGCCGTATTTATTGGCAAGAAGAAATATTTAAGGTTTGGTTATATCTATACCGTTATAGACTGAAGAAAAGAAAAGAACATTTCCGAAACTGCACGTTTTGTAGGGTTAATCACTTTCCGTTTTGGTGAGTCGGCAGAGGCCTGAAGCGGGAAAATCGCCAACAGCCGATAAGGCATTGGCCGATCAAAAACGCGAAGTGAACGGAGTTTTTCTCTTAAGTACGAGCCAACAGAAAAGTATTGTTCATCGAAATAAACTGACAAAAGATACAATGCTGAAAAAGACATGTAGGTATTAATTAATATCAGTTATCGTCCTTAATCATGGAAAGCGAAATGAAAATAATCTAGGAGAGTTTATCGACGGGAACCTAATGATGGAAACATTTAACGAAATAATGGCGGTTCTTTTCAGAACTTCAGATATTGCATGATTCAGTAGAAGTGACAAGCTGAAATGCAACGATCGAAATAAAAACAAAAAAAATGAAGATATTAGTTTGATTAAGGGAAGTGATATATTTTAAGAAATCAGTATTGGCTTCACTGAATGAGAAAATTGTTTTGATAAATTTTCAGGTTTCTTGTTAGTGAAGCAATTACAAAAAAGTAAAATAAGATCGGAAGCGAAAGAGAAAAATATAAAAGTAAATACCAAATAATTGTAACCGAGCAACTAGTGACTGAAACTACCAAACGGTGGATAAAACAAAAACAAAATTAATAAATAAATAAAGACTGAAAAAAAAACAAAAACAAAAACATTAAAGGCTGAGAGGCGCTTGCAAATCCTTTTGAAATGATTTTTATGGTGAAATGAGTCCAAAAATATTTAAACCAGCTAAAAGTTTATTACAAGAAAGATAAGCCCCGACCTTCGCTTTAACAATAAGTCTGCAATACGTAATAGTCAGGTGATATAAATGTCAACATCATTGTTTATTGCTCGACCCTGAGGTCTGGGTAGGTGGAGGAGAAAACCACCAGTTAGAGAAAGCAGAACACAATACGCAATCATTTATTCTTGTTTTCTCTCTCTTTCTCAGACATATATGTACTCGCAAGCAATACATAAGTAGGCAGAAGATTGGTAAAACTATACTATATATGTTTCTTATATTAATACGTGCATATGTATGTGAAAAATGCTCGACGAGGGGAGGTGGAGAATGTCGAAATAGTTTCTCTTGCCTGTGACACTTTTATTGGGGCAACATGACATCAAGTTCAAAATATTTTTAAAGTCCTAACCTATTCTTATTGAAGAACTTTCTTTCTTTCTTTTCTTTCTTTCTTTCTTTCTTTCTATGTTCTTACCTATCTAACTATTGTGGACAAAGAGATATATTAAAACGAACTATGTACCCTCCCGCTTTTCTTTCAGAATTCTGTACGCGCACAAAACATTCCACTCAAAACAAAAGACCATTTTTGTGCTTTCACTGGAGAGAAATATATAGAGATTTTAAAAATGTTTCTTTATTAGACAAGAATATCTTTTTAAACGTTGTTAAACTGAAGCAAAGAAACCAGGCAGCCGATATTTGACTGAAATTCACACAACAGACACAAGTTCCAAGGCTTCACGAAGAAAACCTGTCCATGAATGTATCCAATCACTAAACAAATAGTTACCTTAACACAAAGGAAAAAGAATGATATTAGATCGGGGAGATTTATTTATTAGAAACTGTGCAAGCAACTTAGAAACAAATAATATGAACAAAGACTGAACATATTTTTCAGAATTAGAAAAGCCAAATAGAGATTCACACTAATCAATCAATTCAAACTAATTCCTGGCTTTTAAGCGGAGCAAACAAAGAAAACTAGGTATGGAAAATGAAATGCAAACATAAAAATGTCAAAACTGTGTAAATTTTGGATGAATATTGCATTGATAGTCATTGGCCGACTGGGAAAATTTCGAAAGAAGCTTGCAAATCGACTAGAGGAGTAAAAGATTCGATCAAAGTTTGAAGCAATACAGTACTGTCGAAATCTCCGAGAATATTACTGTAAATTCAATGCAGAATCTGTTTTCAGGAAAAGAGGAGAGGAAGTTATTTGGAACTTTCACATTCAAGTGGATCACCCAATCTATGCCATGCCAGGTGATCGAATAAACAAAAAATAAAAAATAAAATAAATAAATACTGAATACCAATGAAAAACAGAGTAAAAATGAAACAGTGAGAAAAATATGGGATTTTATCAGAAAAGGGAAATAACTGAGTGTTGAGGAAATTGGAACAGTTCCATTTATTAGAAACCGGAATAAATGAAAATCTGAAGAAGAATCGAAACAATCCAGACGATAGAATTACAAAAATCAAAATGTGGAGAGCGCTACAGAAACTTAAGGGAACTTGCTTTAACTTGATCTCTCTTGAACGCTACCAGCTGGGAAAACTCAAAGGGTAGAAATATTCATAGTAATCGTAATATCATGCATTTAATAACTCTAAATAGTCATTTTGGAAATGTATAAATCCCCGGTAGTTATGAGCTAATAGTAAGGCACACGGGTCTCTTTAGCTTTAGTTGGCAATTAGTTGTTTGGAGACTTTGTGGTACCTCTGTACTTGTTCTCTGTATTCAGTTTATACGAAAAATGTCGTTAGTTCTGCATAAGCCGTCATCATTATAATCAAATTATATGTGCGGGTAGTCCGGCTGTTTAGTTCTAGGAGCTGAACTGTTGGACCTTCATCCATCGAAGACTACAGGTGAGTCAATTACACACACACACACATATATATATATATATATATATATATATATATACAGAGAGAGAGAGAGAGAGAGAGAGAGAGAGAGAGAGAGACAGACAGACAGACAGACAGACAGACAGATAGATCGATAGATAGATATATAAAAGCCTATATACATTCCCTAAAAGTCCATGCTACAAACATAAAACGATATGTGTATGAGTCTCGCAATTTTTTGATAGCACTACTGAAACTTTCGTGTCGGAGGTTGGATCTTTACTTTTGTTGAAGAAGGAGACACTAGGGAATTCAGATCTCAGATCCGTTGTACTTGGGCAGATATTGAAAAAAAAAGAAAATTTAATTTAATAAAAATTTCTTGCAACCTGAAGTTAACTACAAATGAAAAAATAGCGGTGAAAATCACATTTTTGCCATCCTCATAGAATAATGAAGGCTCAGCAGGGTATGAGGAAATTAAGAAAACTAAGACAGTGTGGCGGCAACAGTTTTCTGATGACTATACAATTGGTACATATATCTCAGAAGTAATGATAGCTTTGTAATGTATTTGCTCATTATGTGTGTGTGTGTGTGTGTGCGTGCGTGTATGAGTGTGTAATAGGAGGCCCACAATAAAAGAAAGCTTTCAAAAACTTATCTTCCTGAGATCCTGTTTTTGAAATTTTGATTATTATTTGTTTGGTTTACAATTAATGCTTTATTCTTTTGACTGAACTCTTTACTTTTTGTCTTAAAAGTTTTATATTCCAGAAATACAGATTGCCGATTTTTGAGGCCAAATAATCTTCGTTAAATATAAATATCCATAGCTATATTTTTTTGTGTGTGTGTGTGTATATATATATATATGCATACACATATATAATATATATATATATATATATATATATATATATATATATATATATATATATATATATGCATATATATTTATACACCCACATATATGCATAAGTATTTATGCACATACAAACACATATGTACGCATATACTACCATCCGCATATATACAAATGAACACAGTTACACATGTACATATATGCATGCATAGCACCAGACATGCGAATATAAATGAAAAGCAATGAAGAAGCCGAGTGATAGAGATCATTTGTCTGATATGAATAAAGAATGTAAAAACACTTTAGATCCCGCATGGAAAAATTGACAAAGAATCCGAAATGTTAAAAGAATTTCCTTGATAAAATAAGCATCTCTGCTTAAGAAGATAGAAAAAAAAGTTTAATGATAATCTTTTGAGATTGAAATGAGAAAGGTCTGAGCAAGATAAGCGAGTGAAGATATTGGCCATACCAGCTGCGTTCAAAGAAGTGAAAAAAAGTGTGCCACTCAACACGTGGGCGAGACAAAGAAACGTCAAGGAAGGAAGTGAAAGTGAAAGTAAAGTCGATAGAACTGAACGAAAAGGAAATATGAGAGAAATACAACGAGCCCTTTTTTGCTGCTAAGATGGACGCTGTGTCTGACCCGAAGAAGAATGTCCACACGCCCACATGACGCGAGAATCAAAGTAATCAGGATAAAAACATTTACGTCATGAGAAATAAAACTTCGTAATAAAAGTCATTTACAGCTTCATTGATTTTATCTGTTTCTTTCGTTTTCTTATTTTTTGCCCTTTTCTATTTCCTCTTTATTCTGAATACACTTATTTCTATTTTTTTCTTTATACTTTTTTTAAAAATAGATGAAAAGTATTTATATATATATATATATATATATATATATATATATATATATATATATATATATTTTTTTTTACATATTTTCTTTCCTTTTTCCATTTTTCTTTTCCTTTCACTTCTTCCAATTTTTCTTCTTTTTTGCATTTTTATATGTTTTAGTTTCATTCTTTTGCTTTTTGCCTCTTCCTATTTCTTCTTTCTTTTTCACATTTTTTCTTTCTTTTTGCCATTTTTTATTTGCTTTTCTTTCATTTATTTTGTATATTTTCTTTCTTTCTTTCTTTCTTTCCCTCCAAACAATCACTGTTCCTCCTTGTAGCCCCACGGGAACCATTTCGAAAGCCCCACTTAACCAATGTTCCGCGTTGCAATGACGGGTAGAGACAAATCTGTAGAATATTTTTCTAACAGATATGTTCGCGACAATAGATTAGAGAAACGTCCACCACATCGCCACTCTTCTCCCATTTACCAACGCTCTTCATTTACTATTGTCGTCTTCTTCTCTTTCTTTCTACTGCCTTACTCTCCACGGGGAAAAATGAAGAACTCGTCATTCTGCTGAGTTATATCGTCGTCATTGTGCATTATTGCTTTACTTTCAACGTTTAAGAATTGAGTTTAACTATAGGTATATGTGTGCATACAGACGGGACCACTTTAGCACATTTGTTCCAGCGAATACTAGTCCATGTGGATTTTGTATGTGTGTGTGTGTGTGTGTTTAAAAAGGGATGCGCAATTTCTTGGTTGGATTGTATACACACACTTAGTTCTATACATGCTAATATAAATGTAAAGTGAAGAATGTATGCGCGCATTTAAGTTTCTTCATGTCGATTTTAGTCTATCAATCATATTCTGTTCCGATCAATTTCAGTCTTTTCAGGTCTCTCTCTCTCTCCCCCTCTCCCTCTCCCTTCTCTCTCTCTCTATCTATCTATCTATCTATCTATCTATCTATCTATCTATCTATCAGTTATTTGAAAATATACAGACGTATAACTGATTCGTGGAACATAAAAGTTATGCACAAAAACTAACAAGTTTTCTTTCTCTCGTCTATACTACTACTACGAATAATAATAATAATAATAATAATAATAATAATAATAATAATAATAATAAACAGATGATGACACACTCAGTTAATCGAAATAAATCTATATATATTGTAAAAATAGTTACGCAGATTCATACATGAATATGTTGCATTTAGAATTCAATGAATGTATTTATAAATGCGATTAATAAAAATCGCACATGTATACAGTTCTAAAATGGGACATGCATACATAATGACTACATGCAAAGAAAGATTGAGAAGAAAGATTCACGTGTGTTGCAGGTTCGACGAAGATTAACAAGATCCACACGAAGTAGATAACTTTCCTTATGTAGCAGAATGTTTTTTTTTTTTAGTGGAATTAGTAGTTGGAAGGAGTGCCAAGTTTATGGCACATCCTCTTTTTCACTCTGAATGTATAGACTGATTCACTTCTAAAATATTGTGGTACCATGCAAACTCGGACAACAACCGATGTTATTCATATGTGCTGGTCGATTTCGCAGTAGACGAGGGTCCTTTTAGAGAATCCCTGTATCACTATTGTGTTGATCTTTGGCTGTATTGACCGGAAACCAGCCAGCCAGCCGAACATTAGAAAAATCTATGGATAGCCCAGCACAGCTGATTTTTTTATTTTTACAAAGGTTTTAATACTGTTCCTCTCTGCCCGTGTTTAATTTTGTTTTGAATTCTAAGCACTTACTTTAAGGAAAATAACTCGAGAATTTACTTAATGTTCTGTTGTTTAAATAATGTCCAGTAGATGAGTGAGTAAAATTCTAATCCTTTACACACTCCAGTATTTGAAAGTCTCACGAGTAACAGGTCAGATAGCGACTGGTATACAGTTTTTTAAAGATATTTTTGTAAGAGTTTTAAAATATCCTTCAGATGAGAATGAAAATAATTGTGGGAATAATGTTGTTCAAATTTATGACATATAATGTACCTTCACGTACACAGTCTATTTGTAAAATGAAATGAATCAAAGAATAATAATAATAATAATAATAATATATATATATATATATATATATATATAAATAAATTATATATATATATATATATATATATATATATATATATATATATATATATATATATATATATATATATATATATATATATTAGTTTTTAATTAACATTTCATTCTTCATATAACCCCAATTTAATTTCATAAGTTTCTATCCGGGTTTAATTTTATAAAACCTCATCCCTTTAAGACAAATACGTTCCACCCACCTCGGACCACTGACTCGTGCCATTCGTCTGACTGAAACATTGAAATGGACAAGTTCTGTATTAGTTTTTCGACGGTATTTGTTTTTTTTTTTTCACAGTTAAATTTCTATTTCCGACAGGAATTCAGTCTACACTGGGGTTGAATAAGACTGACGACTAATATTTTCGTCTGCCGAAATAAGCTTATTCCCCATATGAGGTGATTTTGGATTTTATGGTGTATTAATTTTGGGACTGTAATAATAAATACATTGAGCTTTTTTGTGGATCAGTTTTAATATTTAATATTACTAGGATCCACTTGGATTATATACCAAAGGATTTATTACCTATATATTTATATATATATATATATATATATATATATATATATATATATATATATATGCTCATGTGCGCACGCGTATCTGTCTGGGGAGACATAAAAAAGAAATTAGGTTGAAATTGTCTATGTTCATATCGCCAGATATTTTAATGTTTTTCTTATCATGTCTCAGTAGCAAAAGCTGTTACCCCTGTAGACAACCTAGACATAGGTGAATGAGTTCTATATATGTATATATATATATATATATATATATATATATATATATATATATATATATATATATCACATATACACCTCTATATCAATGTCCAATTACATATGTAAATATTTGTATCTTTTGTGTGTACATGCATTTGTGAGTTGAGAGCTGATATATCTTGTTTCGGGTGCATCTTCTAGTCACGACGTTTGTATTTGCTTCCAAGTCAATAATAAGAGGAATGTCAAAGGGAGACATTACAAAGATAGTACACCCCAGAGACTAGAAAATGTCCCCTGATCTTCTGAAAAGACAACGGTTGTATAGAAACAAAAGAAAGAGAAGTAATTTAAAAATGAATACAAGCAAAGAAAATAATATGAGGAAAACAATTAACAAAAAAGACAGAAAACATGTGGATATATGAACATTGGCTGACATGGTCTACGAGGAGTAGAAAGGCTCTCAGCTTTGGGAGCACAACAAGTGATGTATCATTGAAATATTGTTATCTCTTCCCATCCTCTCCTTGCGTCCGCCATTGTTATGTTTCAATCATATATTTCATATTGATATTGCTATTGTTTGGTTTCCGTGGATCGAGAGGAAGGAACTGGGATAAGGATGACTCATTAGTAGAACTTTCAATTGCAAAGACATGCAAGAGGAATTGACAACCAAATCTGTTCTAATGTAAAGGAAGAAAATGCAAAAATTTGAACGATAAAAATGCGTCGATATTTTTCCTTAATATTTGTACAACGTCATTATATATGTGTGTGTATGTGTTAGGTGCGCTTACGCTTTTTTTGCAATATATATATATATATATATATATATATATATATATATATATATATATATATATATATATAAAGGAAGAGGTTATAGTAGTTACAACAAGAGAAAAGTGTGTATATTAAAAAGAAGGGAGAAACAGCAAACGTTTTTGGTTGTAATGCGGATTTAAAAAAAAAAATATATATTATGCTTTATTTTCCATAATTTTATTACACGTGTTTCCGGTCTCGCGACCTTCATCAGGCAAAGAGTGGATATTTCCATATATTATTAAAAGGAATTAATTTTTCTTATGTTTTTTGATATTAAATATTCTCGATATTAGACATTCCTTTTTTTGTGTGTTAGTGACCCAAATGTCTTCCGTGAACTGACAGTGAAAAAGTTTTGCGTGAAGGGTAATAAAGCAATTAAGACTGATCCAAGAAAAGGTTAGAAAGATATATATATACTAATATTTTAATGACCCCTGTGAGTTCTTAGATTTATTCGCATTTTTGTGTTTTTGTCAGCATGCGTACGCATACATATATTCCCTCTCCATACATACATACTCTCTTATTATAAGGAATTAGTATACATATATATATATTTGTGTGTGTGTGTGTGTGTGAAACCAACAAGGTCAGTCTGTTTCATTTTTTTATTACATTTTTCCAACTTTCAAATAGGCTGTTGCGCCTCCGGATCAAAATTGTGGATAAACTTTTCAAACTTTTGTTTGAGACCCTTTGACGGTATCAGTTTTTATCAGGAACTAAATGTAATAAGAATAATACACAAGAATTGTTAGCTACATTTTGGCATTTATTATAAATTTACATTTCCTTTATAAATATCTTTGTGTCGTGCAAGTGACGTAAAGTGCAGAACAATTTCAAATAAATTGACAACAAAGAAAACGAGACTATAAATAGTTGATTATTATTTTATATTCAAATTTAAATAGCAATATTTTAAGATGCTGTCATTTGAGTTTTTTTATTATTTGTTTGTTTTGTATAATAATAGTTCAGAGTATATTGAGTCTTTCTTTACAATGTGTGCTTTATAGGAATTTGATATTATCGGCCAGTATTTGTCTTACATAATTTTAGTCGTATTTTGGTTGTTTATGATCTGATGATCGATATGTCCAGGAAATGCATATCGCATCACACCACTAACAACCAAATTGTAACTATTAACATGAAATAAATATTGGTAAATGATACCATATTACGAAAAAGCACACACTGTAGAGAAAAACTCATTATACACGAAGTTATTATTATAGAAAAGAAACAGCTCTCATTCATTAAAATATATTTCACCAAAGGAGAAGACATTTTAAAATATGTATAAAATGATTATAATTTTATGAAATATTTATATACTTGTTTCTGGCGTTGTCAAGATTTATGAAACCGTTCTACACATACATTTATATGATACACATATATTTAAATTTAACCCAACAGTTTAAAAAACAAACAAATTAGAGTGTATCTAATAAACATTGTCTACGATTCTGGCAACATTTTGTTTCTGATAATGACTGAAACAATTGAAAGTACTCGAAGAAAAACAGAAGCAGAAACTTTAAACATTTTATCCATCATTTTAATCCAGATATGCTACAACTAGTCGGTAGAATTTAATGCATCTGGTTTAAATAAATTATAGTTGCCTACACATACACACGTGTGTGCGTGTGTGTGTGTGTGGTAGATATATAAAATGATTTTGAAAAATTTATTCTAACATGTCTCTAAAATTATCCGAAATCATCAGAAAAAAGAATTTTCTTTCACAAGAACAAAATCTACATCTGATTTACGTATATTTTGTTCTTATGAAATAAAAATCTTTTTTGATAAAAATTGGAAACATTTTCTAAGTTTTTATATCTATTTACAATTCCGTCGTAATTTGCATCCAACTTTGCATATATATACATACATACATACACACACACACACACACACACACACACACATATATATATGTATATGCATATATATATATGTATATTATTGAAAGGAATGACAACAGGGAAACCTTTTATGCCAACGAGTTTCGTTTCTTGAGGAATTTTACAAAGGCAAGTTTAGAAATTTTATTTAGTAAACTGTATTTATAAGTACAGGTACTAAATAAAATACAAATAAATTTCAGAAAAGTGAGGTGCAGAAAAATAACATAGTGCCAACAAGAAAAAGAATATTTCCCGTTCGTTTTTAATATGCCTAAAAATTACGTCATTTAGTGTCCTCCATATTTGACCTTTCTTTCACGCAATAAGTTTTTATAATATTTCCCAGTTTTTCTCTTATTCAAAATTTGAGCTCTTGGCATTATTTTTCTCTACATCATTTCTGTCTATAAATACTGGATACTAAAAATGTCTACACTTGCCTTGAAAAGTTCCTCAAAGGAACGATACACCTTGGCATAAAAGATTTTCCGCTTATCATTTCTTTCATTAATATTGTCTTTACAGGAATATTTTCTTTCTTTCTACCTGTGTGTGTATGTGTGTGTGTCTATCTATCTCTATCTATCTATCTATCTATCTATCTATCTATCTATCTATCTATCTATCTATCTATCTATCTGTCTGTCTCTCTCTCTCTCTCTATATATATATATATATATATATATATATATATATATATATATATATATTATACACAGCACATAGACATATATATATATATATATATATATATATATATGCATTCATAAGTATAGGTTTATGTATAAGTATACAAGTATCTTAGTGTGCATCACTGAAAATGCTCACTACCTTTTCACTCCGTAATCACTATATATGAATCTATATTAGGTTAATTCTCTGTATGTATGTATGTATGTATGTATGTATGTATGTATGTATGTACCTATTTATCCATCTAAGCCTGTTCATGTCGTTCTGCCTGTCTGTTCATATCTATCATTGTTCATCTGTTTGTGCGTTTATCGTATTGCATCTCCTCATATCACTCTCTTTTTATGTACAGATATGAATGTTGCCTAAAGACATTAAGCATTTTATCAATAATTCGACATTGTAGTACAAGTAATTGTTAAAATAATCGCCTCCAGAAACTCATTTGTCGCGGTCTTTCCCAGTTGTCTTCTTGTGGGTTAAGATATAAATAAGTAAAAATTAAAATATACATAAGTATATATGAACAATATCATCGCCGATATCCAAATATATTTCTGTAAATATAATCTTTTGTTCCCTGCCGCCATATTAGATTTTTTTCTCTCTGGCTTCTATGACAGAAAAGAATGTTTTGTAAACGCTGAATGAACCAAAATATCAAGACGGAAACATTGTAGCCATCTTTAAATATATTTTACAATACGTATACACTTATTAAGTTTAGAATGATCTGGTCGAGCGCCGCAACAGTAGAGCATGCAAAAAAAGATCGAACAAATGATTTGTTTCATTAACGCGATAGGCACTTAAAGGGGAAAAAAAAATCAGTCATGGTCATTTCATACACTATTGGTGTATTTGTAAAATCTGCGCATGCCTTGGGCTTTTGTGTGTCAATAGTTTTTTTTTTTTTTTAAATTTTCAACCTAGCATCTACTTTGCCAGGACGAAGAACAGAGTGACTAATAACATAAGGAATTAGAAAAATGGACATAGAAAAAAGAGGGACAAGCCTAAAGGGAAGAAAACAAGTGAGAGAGAGGGAGGATAGAGAGAGAGAGAGAGAGAGAGAGAGAGAGTATGTGTGTGTATGTGCGCGCGTTAGCAAGATAGTGAAGAGAGATATTCAAAAATAGAAGGAAAGAGATACAAAGAAAGAGAGAAGATTGGGAGTGAACGACAGAGAAGAATGAAATTTACGAAAAAGCGAAAAGAATCAAAAGAAAAAGGGAAAAATAAAAATAAAGATGAATGATAATAAGAAATTATAGTGAAAATAAAAAATAAAAAACAAAAGAAAGAGAAATAAAAAAAGAGAGAAATAATCTGGGCGACAGAGAGAGAAAGAAAGATAAATAGAGAAAGAATGAGAGAGTTAAAATATGTTGATTGATTAGAATTATAGAAATGACATTCGAATCATATAATGAAGGAAAAGTATAAAAAAAAAGAAAAAGAAAAAACACTGATCCTGTAAAAAGGGATGTTATAGAATGAACAATGCCTTTTCCGAATGCCTTGCGTACGCATGCGCGCCTCTGTGGATTTGTGTGTCGAATGCACTTTCTCGGTTCATGCGCACGTGCATGTACGCAGATTCAAAGACACTAACAGACATATTTTTAGAATGCTGATCTCATAGATAAATGCCCAACGCACCGCCCCATTCCACTCATTTACACACGTTAACGAATGCTCTCTTTTGATTTAAAAAAAATTCGATTTGTTTAACTTTAATTTGTAACAGATTTAGTTGAAATATAAATAAGTCAATAAAACGGTATTTAGCTAAATCTCAGTTAAAGGCATTTCATATTGTATAGCTCAGTTTGTTCATATACTTGTAAAATTTACGATGGACACATCCTTTAATCTGTTTTTGTTTAATGTTGATGACTAAACTGCTGAAAAATTGAACATGAAGTGTATTTTACTAGTCTTCTCATACTTGTAAAATACTTGGCTTAAATACAATTATAATGAAATTTTGCATGCGTCATTTTTAATAATTCTACAGCTGGCAATGTTTGGAAAATACAGTTTTTATTCACTAACAATGTTATGCATCTAGGTCTTAAGTTAGAAGCTAAAAGAACAAGAGAGAGAAAGAATTCTTTATCAACAGAAAAGAAGACAACAGTTTGGTTCCAGGAACTTTTTTGTCATATTCCATTAGAATAACTAATATAGGAGAAGGAAAATAAATAAGTACCTATCAGTCAATGATTAGGCACAATTTGACGTTCATAATAAAAAAGTGAACCATAATTCACCCTGGAGAATTTCCAGTTGAATTTAGACTAATATCTTCATCTTTGTTGTTTTTATCCCAACATTTCATCCAATGTGCTTTACAGTCATATAAAGTGTGTGCTGCATTTGGTAATCTACAAAGCGTTTTGAATAGAATCACTCAGAATGATTTTTTGCCAACTTGAGCCAATTCAATCTAAACAATTCACAGATGCAAGCGACGAAGATTCAGGTTTCACTTTTGGTTTCGTTTTCGCTTGAAAAATCCGCTGTCTGCTTCGTGCGCAAATTAACTCTACATCATTTCCATCTGTGTCAAGCTAGCTTTTTGGCAAGACTAAATTAAATTGGGGGAATTAAAGTAGGAGAAAGAGATGGGGGAAGGATTAAGGGTAAGTGATAATAAAAGAAAGATAAGAGATATGAGAGAGAGAGAGAGAGAGAGAGAGAGAGAGAAGGAGAGAGAAGTAGACAACATCGTAAGGGCGTAGATGGAAAGAGAATGTGAACTGAACAAGAAGAAAAAGTGAAAAGAAAAGTATGAGGAAAAAATGAATGAGAGAAAACAGAAGAAAAATATGAAAGTAAGGAACGCTCATTTAAATTCTTGAGAGACCAAACTCATTTTATCAAGTTATTCAATAGGAAAAATATCGAAAACGTATAAGCTTCCCTCTCCCCGGTTCAATCTGGTGGCTTTTGCTGGGGATCAAGTGCTTACAAGTCTTTTTGTTAATACAATGTTGGTTTTATAATGTTTTTCATTATTTTCTTCAGGTACCAAGATGCTTTAGTTGTCCGCAATTATTCATTTTTTTTTCGAAAGGTCCAGATATTCTTATATTTTTTCACTATCTTTCAATTTAACTCTGTATCTGATAAAATAGGGACATCTTTTATTTAGTATGACTAGATCTATAATTCTGGGCTGGATTAGGTGATCCTTTTATTTTTAAAGACCATCATTTTATTTTGCTTTTGTAAAGGACGCCTCTTGCAAAATAACTGAAAGCGAAAGAGTAGTTGTAATAACAACGCTTCGTTGTGACACAGCAGTTAGTTAGTCAAATCATTATTGATGTAGTGGATATGAACCTAACTTGTTGCATTGCATTTTTAACCTTCTGCTAGTCAACACCTATTCTACACAATTTGCTTATCACAAATTATACGAGACAATCTGTTTACCATAAAATACGGAAGATTAAATGGCAGTAAATGTCAGCATTTTCGAAATGCTGTAGTCTTTCAATTCTTCTACGCAAAAGCTCTTCTAGAATGTTCCAAATGCGTCAGTAATAGGGGGTTCAACCATCACCTGCATTTTTTTCATCTCTCGGGCAAATTTCCCCGTCTTTTCTATTTTTTTTTTCACTTGAAAATGTCGTTTGCTACAATAATGATATCTTTTATCTGACAAATTTTCTTTTTAATCTGATTTTGTTTCGACAATATATTTGAATTTCAAAATTCCATAAAATTTTCCTTTATGTAGAACAGATTTTGGTTTGTAGCTGCTGGTTATCGCTGGAGATTGACTCCAATTCACTTTTAGAGCCTTTTTCACTATTATTATTATTATTATTATTATTATTATTATTTTCCTGATCTCAAGAATGTCTTTTTTCAAAGGCATGCATTGAATTCTTTCAATTTTAGGTTCAAATTCTTTGGTAGAGAGTGCGTTCAGAACAACTCCAAGAATCTTAGCTCTGCCAATAAGATCGGAAAAATTAGGATCGTAAATGTCCCTCGTTAAGTTTCTATCCTAGAAGTGGACACAGAAGATATTTTCATTCAAACACTTTACTTGATAATGACTGAAACATCACATCTTACCGATTCAATTACCCACCATGACGTATTGGGTTCTTCATCATTAAACACTTACATACACTATTTCTCTCCTTTGATTACACTGACACACAGAAATTCTGTATTTCAGAAAATCATCTCAGATAGAAAGACTATTTCTGACGACAAATATTAATTTAATGAAGCCTATGTAAATAGAAGAAAGAAAAAATGAAAATGAAAAGAGAATTGAGAATTTTGGCATTTTGTCGTCGAAAGCTCACAAAATTGTTTGCTTTCATGCAGAGACTTATTCAGTAAAAAAAAAAATCAAATACATTTTGGAGAAAATATTTCAAAACTAGAAAAGTGCAAAGAAAAAAATGAAAGAAGAATAAACAAAAAAAAATCAGGGAATTATTTTTTAAAATGTCGTAGAGATTTTAGCAAATTTTTGTATCCATATGAGACCAAATAGTATGCGAAATTAAAAAAAATTGCAATTGATCGAAGATTCTAGGTACAAAGATGTATTCTTTAAAATCCTACCAGAGATTGTCTGTTATAGCAGTAATAATTGCATATCAGATTGAAAAATATTAATCCTGAATAAAACATAATGTAAATATTCGGTAGGTCGTATCATATATATATATATATATATATATATATATATATATATATATATGACACATATATATATATATATATATATATATATATATATATATATATATATATATATATATATATATATATATATATATATATATGGCATAGGGGAAAATGTTTTCTTATTACGCGTTTAGTCTTTTAGGACTTCATCGGTGTCTGATGAAGTCTGATGACGTCTAAAGAATGAAACGCGTCACAAGAAAACTTTTTTTTCCATTTTCCTCAATATTGTTCTTTATACATATATATATATATATATATATATATATATAATTATACCTTTGGGAAGATTAAGCATCGCCTATGGGATGTTCAGGGGATTTCACTGAAAACGAAAATCAGTGTCTATCGAGCAATCATTCTCACCACACTTATATATATATATATATATATATATATATATATATATATATATATATATATATATATATATATATATATATGCACACACACACACACACACACACACACACACACACACAGGACGGCTCAAAAGTCGCACTAGAATTGAAAAACTATGTATCTATTATATTTATTTACTAAATGTTTTTGCCTATGAAAATATATGTAATTTTGTCAAGCAAATTTCCTACACACACACATATATATATATATATAATTGATTACTAATTTGGGAATTTGTA